TAAAAGAGACACCACCTTAAGTTTATCATAGCTCCACTCTGCTTGCCTCAGAGCTGAGCTCAACAAGAGTACACAGAAGGCTATGAGATGAAGAGGGTTAACATAAGTCCTCTCTAACAGGAACCTGAAGTTACCAGGGCTAACACTGGTATCTAAACTCAAGAAGCATCTTTCAGTCACCCCAAGTTTCTCTTTTCTGAACATGCTTCCTGACACAAAAATGGCCTGCTATAATACTACACTGGTTTTCTCACACCCCTAAGCCCTCTCTTCTACTGTCTCCTCAAGCTCTTCAGCTTGCTAATTAATTCATCATGGTCCCATGATTCTGTCAATATTTTCAACTCCGTCTTCAGTTTTAACCCAATCCATCCACCTCACTTCAGCACGACTGACTTAATTTAGAACTTCAACATGTCTATTTTGCATTCTAGCCACAGCTTCCTAACTGGTCCTGCTCTGGATGGAGTAGTAGCCCTTTGATGGCGGATATGTGCCCTATCCCCCTGACGATCACAGTTATTTTGACAATGGAGAAAAATTTATTTCTCTGAAAACTGACTCTTCTCCTGACTCTTATTTCCATGAAACTCACAAAGCATTTCAAATGCTAGATTGCATGGTGAGGCCAAATATGCTTTGAAAGTGAGGAAATGACAGCAGACAGGTCTTTTGGAAGCTGTCTCCTACATGATAGCTGCCAAAAGAGACAATTACAGGAGTTTAGTTTAACAATCTTAATTGGTTTTATGTCCTATTCTAGTTCTGGGCAACACTGTGTTGCATAAAACAGAGTAAATGCTCTCATGAGTATGTGGAAGTTGATGATGATTCAGTGATGTAAATGTTAAGAAATTAAACAAACCTCTAAAAGCAACCTGGTCATTTCTAAGTCACTTTCTATGTGGCCAACACTGGGAGGCAGTGCTAGGGAGGTAACTGAATTTTTATATCAACTTAGGTCAGATTGGAGCATCTGTGTAAGGACTTCAGAGAGAAACATCATCTTTAGATTGATGCTAGCCCATGTGAAGTTATCCCATTAGTCTACAATAATGGTGTTTTGTAATTTCCATTTAACCTAATCATGGCCTTTGCTCCTGCCACCATGCACAGTTAAACACCATGTCCAAAACTTATTCTCTCCCTGTCACTCCCTCTCTAAATACTCTTCATGTGGTACTATGTGTTCTCTCCTAAGCAAAGTGTGAGCTTTGGTCACTGTTGTTGAAGTGTATGAGTTGGCTTCCCTTATCGTGTACATTACCTATGATTCTGCTGTTATCCATAAATTCCCCAGGAGCCTGAGCTTACCCATCTAACCAGCCTTTCACACTTTCTGCCAAGCTGTGACTTTCAGAACTATTTACTATCACCAAAATGCTCTCTATGCTCTTTCTTCTTAACATGTTTGACTTATGCTTGTGAGTGTGGATGAGCTCAACACAAATGTGATCATTAAGAGACAAATGGACCAGGGAAACATCCTTATAAAATAATCTCAATTGAGAGTATCAAAGAATAAACAATGCAGAAAAAGGAAGAAAAGATAGTAAAATCTAGTAGATGAAAAAATGTTACAGAAAACACCAAATAGAAAAAATCAATTATAATGTGTGTATTATCTATGTGTGTGTTAATGCATGTATATCTGTGTGTATGAATGTCTGCATATATATATTATGTGTGTATATATGTGTATAGATAGGTATGTATGTATGTATGTACTTGTGCACATGTTTTATGTCTTTTCTTTGGAGGTACTTGAGAAGAGTAGAGACCAAGGAAAAGAATTACATTTGATATCAGGAAGGTAGTTATTACTTTCTGTCAAACATCAGAAAACACAGAAAGTCAATGAGACCCCAGCAGAAATGACTCCATGTAGTGATTCTGTTCATTTAGCCTAGGATACTTGTTTCAGCTCAGTAGAGCAGAATGGTAATCAGCCTGATGGACTGAGGAAGTCAGATGGAGTGAGTGAAGCAAAGACAGTCTCCTGCCTCATGAGCCCAGGAACTGGGAACAGTGACTAAGAGCTAAGGCAGAATTGTGTACTGAGGTTTTATGGGAATATGAATATGAAATATCAGCTTGGTAAGAGCTGAAAACCAAGAGCAATCACCATCAGGAAGATAAAAACACAAGAGTGTCTTTGACCTTTATTGCAGCTGCCCATGGGGACCAGGTGGAAGTCTTCTGCTCCAGCAGATGGCCAGTGTTCAGACTGCAGCAATCAGACATCTAAGTCAGTGCCCTTTAGCTTGAAGTCACTTTCATACATTTGAATGATCCAGGAAGAGGTGTATAACCTCAATGTGGCTTGTATAAATGAAGAATATTAAAACTACTTCCCTTTCCATTTGTCTCTATGTTTTCCCCTTTGTACCTGCGTAATAGCTCTTGGTTTTAGCTCTTTTTCCCCCTACAAGTTCCAATCATATCATGTCTCAATGTCTTCCTTCAGTTTTGTTTCTACTTGGCTACCTTGTTCAAAACTTTAGCTGGGCACAGTGGTGCACACTGATAGTAGACACTGAGACAGGATGACTAATGAGAGTTTGAGGCCAGCCTGTGCTACTTAATGAGTAGTAGGGTATCCTGAACTACGTTGTGAGGCCCTGTCTTAAAAATATAAAACCTATAGTTTTCACCTAGGAATTTTTGACAGGATTTTTGAGGCTACCAGAATCTTGATTTTTCTTGACACTTATAAACTGTCCTCTTGCTTAAAATCAAAAGAGGAAGTTTTACAAAATTCTTTTAAATAGTTCTCTGTTAGCATACAAAATGTTAACCCAGTTTCAACACTCATTGTTCTAGTATTGATTTTTATTCTTTCTCTCGATATTTCTACATATACTACACATCTAAACCAATCAAGTCACATCTACTAGGCTTTTTTTTCTCTTCTTATTCACACAGTTCTCCTCTCTGTCTCATATCCTATTTATTCTAGGAGACATTATCTTCTCTGCCTAGAAACTGGCTTCTATGCATTTCTGGAGAGATACATCATACCCCGCTTTGTGTTACAGAACTGTGTGTTTCATTTCGAAACCAAAACAGACAGCTACCAGTCTAATGCCATCCATATGGCAAAATTAAATAGTGAATGAACAACAACAGGAAAAGTGTAGTAATAAACTATTTTAATAGAACCACAGAAGGTTCTTAAGCACTCAGCTTATCCATAACGCCTGGATATTTATTGGTGGTAGCAGTGATGTTGTGTGGGAACCTAAGACCTTAGGCTCCAGCATGCTAAGTACATGTATGGCAGCATCCTTCACCTGCACATGTGGCCTTTAAAAACCTGTCACAAACTTAACCCTTAAAAACTAGAAATGTGGCTGGAAGCAGTGAATAGAATGAAGCCAACCCTGATGAAGATAATGTCAATCAGTTAGTTGAAACATGATGTGAATGGAGTTGAAATTCCAGAGTTAATAATCTACACACTTAACATCTACTTTTAGTCCATTCAAGCTTCAAAACTTACATAGCCATCTCCTACCCAATGAAAAAAAATGAATCTCTGCAAGCATAAATTTGTCCGCAAGAGCAAAATGTTTCCTATATAAAGAGAATCACAATTGTCAGGAGCTGTGTAGCCTAGTCTTGGATCAGCATATGATTACCTGTCCAAGGATTTACTCAGGGCATGGCACCTGTGGAAACGGATTCTCACTTGGCAAGGACCAGTAGTTCATGGAACAGCAAAGGAATTTGTAAAATTGATGAAGCTTGTAGGCTCTTTTTTCCTCTCATTATATTAGTGATTCTTTGGATGGCTTTTTTACTTTGTCAGTCATACATGCAATAGCTATAATTTTCCCTGGTAATTATTTTCCTTTTTAAATATTTTCCCCGAAGATTTATCAGGGGGGTTAATGCTTTTTGAATCTCTTGTCTGGAGTCACTAACTACAACTCCTAATTCTAGGAACTTTTCTGACTCAATGGAGATTGTTATATACACATGAGAGATTGAGACATGGGAAAGGGAGCTGTATAAAAATATATCTTGCATACATGAAAGAATTGTCTGGGTTTGAAAGTTCTCCTTAAAGCACTGTGCCCATGTCTATTACTTTAACCACAAGTAGCTGCCAGCTGACATAAGCACTGCAGGAGCAAGATGTGTCTGGCTCAATTTTCAGTTAAGCCAGAAATCAAAGTCTAGAATAAAGTTTTTCAGGGACTGGGAGGAGCACCTGTTAAGTGGATGTCTCTGGAATTTCTGTGAGCCAAGCCCAAGAGACCTCCCAAGGAGGACCACATTCTGGGTGTTGAAGCGCTATGAGAACCCTGAGTGTGGAAATACACTGTCGGGAACACTTAAAGAGAATGATTGGTAATAGGACAATACCCCCAATCAAAGCATAGGAAGAAGGGGGTCACTCCTGAGCCGACTGCAGGCTTTCAGGCGAGAAAGAGCACAGGCATCCAGGGGTCAGGCTCCCACATGTTTTCAGGAGAAATCCAGGGGGCCAACACCACGTCCTCCAGATTGTCAATCTTAACTTTAAGCACGTGGTGACCAAGATTGATTTTATTGCCCTCACCTGAGGCTCCCTACAGTGGGAGAGTAAGTTCCCCATTCTCTTTTTATTTATTTGTTTGTTTATTTTTTGGTTTTTCGTGACAGAGTTTCTCTGTATTGTTTTGGAGGCTGTCCTGAAACTCGCTCTGTAGACCAGAGCTGGCCTCGAACTCACAGAGATCTGCCTGTCTCTGCCTCCTCAGTGCTAGGATTAAAGGCATATGCAACCAAAGCCTGGTGGTTCCCCATTCTCTTAATGACAGAAGACATAAACAACAACAAAGAGAGCCTCGAACAAACACAGCAACTGTGTCAGACCTAAGTGTAGTAGATGTTCCTACCTAATGCACCAGCGATACCAGACAGACACAAAGAAAAAGTCAGGAAAAGAAAGAAGGTCCCTGCACTCACCTTCACGAGGACCAAGGACATGAAACATGAAGGAGCCTACTCACCGGACAAGTCACCGAAGCAGGGGTGCAGAAATGCGCAGCAAGCATGAAGAGGAGTCCGAAAGGGTGCTGATAGTTGAAGTAAAAGTGGGTTGACTTAGGATCCACCCATGCACTGTCAGCAACAGAAGGCAAAGATCAGGACCCAAAAAACAGCCTCAACGAAGGAAAAGAAGACCCTGATTCAAGGGGGGTTGGCCCCACGTATAGGTACCAGGTGTTGAAGGTGATTCTGCTCAAATACTCCTTTGCGGAGGGGGTGAGAAGACACAGCACCAGCGACTCAGGCACTGGGAGTCAGTGAGTGGCAGAGCGTGCTGCAGACTCATTTATTAAGGAAGTTAGGCCCGCCTTTATACCTCCTCCCAAGGTCCCACTGGCTCAGACAGCTGACTCTGCTGCATTGTCCTTTCCTCATTGGTATCTCTGGGTCAGGTGTCTCTTTGTCAGCAGTCTCTGGGCACAGAGGCAGGCTTCGCTCAGGGAGGAAGTGCCTGCTAAGCATGCTTATGGAGGCTGGCTTGCACACCTGTGATTGGGTAAGCTGGCAGGCAATTTCTCCTACAGGAAGGTATATTGGGCAGGCATAGAGGGGCACAGCGGGGGCTTTCAGAATCATCACGATGTATTCCTTCAATTGTGATGTATATAGTAAAGTCCAAAATAGAAGCCAGTAATAAAGCTGCTCGTGTAGCCCTGCTAAGAAAAACTGTTTAAATATAAATAAAGACAGCCTGAGCTATTTCAGGGCCACTTGAGTGTAATCCACTTGGTGGTCAGTTTTTCTTACACTGATGCCTTCCCCATCTCAGGACCGGAACCCCATCCGAGACTGGACCCCACAACAATTGTTTCAACTTGGAAACATAGCTCATTAAACGTGGGGCAGGTTTTGAAGTAGAGGAGTCAAGAAATAGCTGTTATTCTAATAGTTGTTTGGAAGTTGGTGAATTAGGAGAGGACCCCCAAGAGATGATTAGAAACAAATCCCTTTTAGGGAGATTTGTCGGGATTGTGGGGGTGAGACTCATGAAAATTTAGAAGAGAAGTTTGCAATCTGGCTCTGGTCTTTTCCTCTATTGAATGTAGTGTTACATTCTTTTTCATCACAGCATATTGCAATTTTGAGGAAATGCTGGGATAGAAACATTGTCAAGCAGTTTACTGTCAAGATGGTCAGGCCACTGACAGAACACAGAGTGTGACTCAAAACAATTGTACAACTACAGGGAAGATGCATGGAGGCACAGATCCATTGTTTTGTTTTAATTTACCAGGAATTTTTCTCCTTAAGTAAAGGCTTGGTTACGGCTTAATTAATTGATAAGAGCTTGGTTGCTGAATAAGCAGTGAAAAGGGTATCACTGGAATTTGGAAATTCCCCAAGTATGTGACCTTGTCTGTCAGAAAAACAAAACAAAACAATATCTGCTGTAAGTGAGCCAAAGTAAGGATATTGAAGGGGGCAGAGAAATCCAGGATGCAGTGATCAGATCTCCTTCATGTACAGTGCATTTCAAAATACCTAATGTTTCAAAATCACTTTGTCCTGAAGTTATATGCACTTCCTGCCTCTTCCGCTTCCATATGAGTTTGTAATGACTCTATCGATTCCCGAGTCAGCTTGAATTCTATGAAGCTGCCCCTCCAGTAGCAGGGTGGGGGGGGTGCATTTCTCCTGAAACGCCCTAACTGGTGCAGACTTCCAATGTGTGTTCCGTCAGCTGGGTGACTGTTCCTTCAAGGACATGAGGAAATAAGTTTGAGAAAAAGGGAGCAAGGATGGGCAAAGGGAGGTGACAAGACCTTTCTTGTTTCATAGGTGAATTGAGTTCCAGGCCTGGGCTAGCAGTTGCCTATCAAATTCTGTCCAACCTCTTTTCAAAGTCAAACATTTTCAATCGAACAGCCCTGACAACTCAGGCACAAGTTTGAAGCCAGAGCTCAGCTCGGCATTCCAATCCTGCACTGACAACCATGGCCAGGATGATTACCCAGCCTCCATTCACTCACTCCGTGGTTTGTGAATGTCATATTGATCAGGCAAGCAGAAGGCCTCAGGGAGTTTCCTTTCTAATTTCAGAAAACTTCAAGTCCTGAATAATTGGAAGCGGGGAGTGCACACAGCAAAATACGGAAAGAACAACTAACCAGATGCCTCAGAGAAAATAGGGAGCACCTAAACACCAAAATAAAATGCACGGAAAATGCTAGCCCAATTACATGTGCTTACAGAGCAAATGCAGTTTTATTACTTTCAGCTGCATGTGGTAACTTTGAAATAGAGTAGCTTCAGTTAGATGACAACTGTTTCTGCTCTAATGAACAAATAAGATGGATGTCTTCCAAAAGCTTCAATTGTCATGGAGACACAACAGCACACTTTTGAAATGTTTTTTTGATCTTCAGTAGGGTGAAAGCTAACACTTATTAAGTCAGTACTAAACATTGAGGCTTGTGGTAGATAATTCCTCATATGTTACCTCCTTTGGTTTACAATATTATGAAGTATATTTAATACTCCCTTTTTTCTGATGAGAAGAATGAGTTCAGGGAGGATAAATAAAATATTCAAATTTATACAATAAAGAAGTGATGGAGAACCAATGGGAACTTTTCACCCTGAACTTTTCTGTCTTAAGAAGTGGACTGTGTTCAAGGATGTGCATACTTGTTTCTCAAATTAAAAAACAAAAAAAACAGAAAAACAAAAGCGTAGGAGCTAGGAGCCAACTTTGTGGTAGACAATAAGATTGAATTGTTCATTTGAAATATACAAATAATGTATATAATAAATATTTTACAGAAGAAAATTTAAAAATCCCTTTTTTAAAACTGTCACTAATTATTAAAGAATCCTAATACTCTTGGAATTCTTTAGAATTATTTTTAAAGTCAATATGTGTCCTATATGAAAGAATATCAGTCAATGACATATTTTTAAGCACCATCAAAGAATTTGAGTACCTTTAAGTCACAGTTATTAAACTCTGACCATTGCACAGACTAGCTGGGAAAACAAGATATTTATGTATCTACTTAAAGCAAAACTGAAACAGAAAGAAACTTTGTACATATTTTGTACAATAAAAGTGACTACTACTCTATATTTAAATTTAACCTGATAAATAACTTTGGCTTAGTTTCATTTTTTCCTTGCAAACATATTCCAATAATGTATAAAATTAACCACCTTTGATATCTAGAAGAATAGGCACAAGTATACAATTTGAAGTCATGGGATAAGGTCATCATTTTTTCTTGTCTAACAATGACAAGACATTCTATATATTTTGAAAGGATAAAAAGATAAATTACCATCAATATATGATTATTTTATAATGGGAGTATGCTTCATCCTGGCTTGCATAATGGCTCTTAGTACTTATTGGTAAGTGTGACTGAAAATGAATTTGATGTCTAACTTAGTTACCTAATTAAGTTTCATCTTAATTTGGATATATTTCCTTTCTTAGAAATAGGTAAAATTGTTCAGACCTCTGATAATTAGGAATATTCTAAAAACTTTGCAACGCACTCTGAGGACAGCTTGAAAGAAGGGACACAAATGCACACAGTTGTTCCATGATATAGCAAGTGCTGGGGGTGGAACCCAGAACGTCACATGAACAAGAACAGTGTTAGACCATGGAGGTAACTATGGACCCAGCAACGTGTTTTAACAAAGATGAGATTTCCTGGGCTACTCCTGGGGGAAGGACAACTTGCCTTTGTCAGTTATAATCTCACATGTAATCCAATCCTTACCCTTACCCTGAAATGTCACCCAAGTCTGTAGTCATTGAAGGCTAAATGAATGAGACTTTATTATTTCCATTAAGCAAAATTATCTTCTCCCAGGCCTTGATTCACATTCTAATGAGCACAGACAGTGGAAAAACTTTTTTGGTTCAGAGATTTTTCAAAATTGCCCTTTATGTTACCCACTGTGCCTTTCAATCAATAGTTTGCTAAATATTTCCTCTTGCTTTTGTTAATCCAATTTAACAAATGCATCTATGCTTACGAAGAAGAAAATAGTAACACTGAGCAATTATCTGGCTTGCTGGCTGATGCAGAAACCCTTTACAAATAATTCAATAATTCAGGCGCTGAAGTGGATATTTTAGCCAGTGCTTTTCAATTGGGCTAGCCATCACATGTTATGTATGCATACAGGATTTTCTCTGTGTTTAATGCTTTAAATCAGTGGAAAATGAAAAGAGTTCCTAGGTGTAGTGCAGATAAAGAGAAGGCAAAAGCAATTTTGCTTCTGCATTTCCCTTCTTGGGGCTTTAAAGCTTCTGATTATTAATCTGCTGTGGGAAGTCTCTGTCCTTGCTTCTCACCAGTTATCTTGAGGACAGGTGTTCCAGGAGACCTGCTCTTTCTAAATCTAACCTTTCAATGAATAAGCAAATAATATAGAGGCCAGGAAATAAACCAAACAAAAATTTGCTTTTACCATTCCTCCCCAGAAAACAAATATCAATAGTATATTAAAGAGCAAGGTGTGTTTTGGAATATTATTTTAAGTATGCAAAGATGTGTTATATTTGTTTATGTTACATTTGTTTTTGCTGCCTTTGTTAACTATATAAGTATATGTTGCATTGGTTTATGTTGTATTTGTTTAATTATGTAAAGATGAGTCAATTTGCCTTACTAAGGCACCTGTTTGGTCTAATAAAAAGCTGACTGGCCACTAGCTAGGCAATAGAGGATAGGCAGGGCTGGTGGGCAGAAGAACAAGTAGGAGAGAGGAGAGAAGAGAAAAAGGAGAAGAAAATGAGCTGTTTGGTGGCCTAAAAGAAAGCCTGGAGCAAAGATGGGTGAGGTAGCACCCTCTGTGCTATTGAACCACTTGGAGGAACAGGGCAAGGAGAAATCTTAACGAGTTATTGCCAGTTTCCATGGTGCATTGCTGTGTAGGTTTGTAGATACAGCACAAAAATGCCAAGTTCGTGGTTGGGTCTAGAGTTGATGAAAAAGTAATTAGGGGTGGGTCTATAGGTAAAGTTGTGAAAATAAAATATAAGAGCAGTAAATTTTCCCACCTTTCTAGAAAGTAACTCAGATAGGAAAGATGCTAAGTCTAGGCTGATTTCCTACTGTATTTTAACTTGTTTTCTGTAGCCATCCCTCTCTCACACTGAGTGGCATGCTTCCTTCAGCTCATTGTACTCCTTTTCCCAAATCCTCTGGAGCATGGGCATAGAACCCCCTAGGAATTGGTACCAAGCAGGATGCTGGGGCTCTCATGTCAACTCCACTGTAAGCCTAGGTTGGGAGAACCACAGCCTTTCTACTGGACTTTGTTGAGTATAAGCAAGGGCATCACAAACTATAAAGGCAATTTATTCGCCATGCCCCAATCAGAAGCACATCCCAATTGTTAATATACCCATGGGATTTTAGTGACCATACGACTTTTACAATATCATTGCAAATATTCTCATAGAAAGTAAATAACTGTGATTCCAAAGTGCTTAGTTGCCTCTTGTGAATTGAATTAAATAAGCACACAGACAAGAATAAGTCAAAAGAATTGCTCTCTTGACCCTTGTTAATGGATCAGAGTGTAGTACAGGGAC